GATGTATAACTGGAGTGCCAAGGCTCAAAGATGAAATGCTCACTGGGACCGGTCGAATAAGGCACCTAAAAGCTGTATACCAGATTCAGGCATGGATTTCGTGAAGAAACACCTAAACCCAAAAGGGCAGCTGTGGAAGCATCTGAGTCATCTTAACAATTTCAACCATTAGGCCGGGTGCAGTGACTCGAGCCTGTAATCCCAGCACTTTGGGAGCCGAGGCGGCTGGATCACGAGGTCAGGAGATCAAGACCATCCCGGCTGACACGGCGAAACCCCGTCTCTATTAAAAATGCAAAAAAAAAAAAAAAAAAAAAAATAGCCAGGCATGGTGGCACATGCCTGTAGTCCCAGCTACTTGGGAGGCTGAGGCAGGAGAATTGCTTGAACCTGGGAGGCAGAGACTGCAGTGAGCCGAGATCGTGCCACTGCACTCCAGCCTGGGCAACAAAGCGACACTCCGTCTCAAAAAAAAACCAACAAAAAAAATTTCAACCATTAGTCATGCAATAAATATTCCGATTTTTAAAAATAATAATAAAAACTGGCCGGGCATGGTGGCTCATGCCTGTAATCCCAGCACTTTGGGAAGCCGAGGCAGGTGGATCACAAGGTCAGGAGTTCGAGACCAGCCTGGCTAACACGGAGAAACCCCATCTCTACTAAAAATACAAAAAGATTAGCCGGGCGTGGTGGCGGGCACCCGTAGTCCCAGCTACTCGGGAGGCTAAAGCAGGAGAATGGCATGAACCCAGGAGGCGGAGCTTTCAGTGAGCCAGGCTCGCACCACTGCACTCCAGCCTGGGTGACAGAGCAAGATTCCATCTCAAAAAATAATAATAATAATAATAATTTTAAAAGAATTTCCCTTCATGAAGGGCTCCAAACAGCCTTGGAATGGCTGCATTATAAACTCAAGTCAGCAGGATTGGGAATGTGCTTGGTGGGCCCAGGGGGTCCTGGAGAGTCAGGGAAGAATGCTTCCTTACCCCCTACCAGGCTAGTTAGTCCAAGAACTTTATCATTAAGGTTCTTTATCTAAGGTCTATGGACTGGTCCATAGATGAGGCCATTTTTATTTTACACATTTTGTTTAGTGTAAAATATTTTGAGTGGATACAGGAATGCATTGTTCTTGGGAGAGGACCCATTGTATTCATTATATTCTCAGAGGAATAGTGAGCAGAAAACAATTAGCAACCATTACCTTAAGAGTTCAGCAATGGTGGAAAAGAGGAAATTAACGGGATAATATAATACAGATATTATTAAATTATTAAAAACAGATGTCATGGCTGGCGCAGTGGCTCACGTCTGTAATCCCAGCACTTTGGGAGGCCAAGGTAGGTGATTCACGAGGTCAGGAGTTCAATAACAGCCTGGCCAACATGGTGAAACCGAGTCTCTACTACAAATACAAAAAATTAGCTGGGCGTGGTGGCGGCCGCCTGTAATCCCAACTACTCGGGAGGCTGAGGCAGGAGAATCGCTTGAACCCTGGAGGCGGAGGTTGCAGTGAGCCGAGATCACGCCACTGCACTCCAGCCTGGGTGACAATGCGAGACGCCATCTCAAAAAACAAAAAACAAAACAAAAAAAAACAGATGTTATAATCAGAAACTTCAAAACATCTAGTCCAAGTTCTGATTATTCCTTTTAGTGTAAAGTTTATGACCTGGTGGGAATTATTTTTCATTTATCCCTGGCATTTAACCAAGACAAAAGGCTGGGCCCTGGAGGTCTACCCCAGAGGGCCATGGGACCCAGGATTTTAGGGAAGGGAAGGAGAAGGATCTTCATGGTGTATCTTCTCAGACAATTGAGGCACAGCAGTGACCTGAACCCCAGGACACTTGTTAACGCCTGTCAGGTGGAGGGCACTTGCCTAGGTGCCATGAGCAAGGTGCTACCAAACCTTGTTGCACCAAGAGACAGCCCAATGCAGGGGAGTCGGTGCTAAGGAGATAGAGGTTTGATCCAGGTTCCTGAAGGAGGCCCACTCAGTTGTGTCAATTACCTGAAGGCATGGGAGTGGCTCCAAGGATGCATATGTTTGCCCTCTGCCCAAGGGGCCAGGGGAAAGCAGCTAAGTGTTGGCCTTGAAAAAGTGAGCACTGAACTAAGAAGCAGAAGCTTAGGTTCTGCTGCCTCTGTCTGGCCTTTCCTCTCTCCCCCAGCTTAGAGGCCTCCCAGAGGTAAACTGGTCCTTTAAGCGGCTGCCATCCCCTGCAGCCCTTCAGGCCCTGACTTGCAGGTTCTCTGTGCAAACTTGGCTCAGCCTTTTTGGAAATGTAATAGGTATAGTACTGTTAAAATGAGAGCACTGGGGAAAAAAAGAAGGAAAAATAAGCATAGCAGAGGAGGAAGAAGTAAATGCTAAGATATATGGCTGCCAAGCATAGTGGCTCACGCCTGTAATCCCAACACTTTGGGAGGCTGAGGCAGGACAGTCATTTGAGGCTGGAGTTCAAGACCAGCCTAGGCAACAAAGTGAGACCTTGTCTCCATATATATATATATGGCAACAAAGTGAGACCTTGTTTCCACATATATATATGGCAACAAAGTGAAACCTTGTCTCCACATATGTACATACATACATATATAGAGAGAGAGAGAGAGAGACTGAGTTTCACTCTGTCACCCAGGCTGGAGTGAAATGGCACGATCTCTGCTCACTGCAACCTCTGTCTTCCGGGTTCAAGCAATTCTCCTGCCTCAGCAGGAGTAGCTGGGATTACAGGTGCCGCCATGACCAGCTAATTTTTGTATGTTTAGTTTAGACGAGGTTTCACCATGTTGGCTAGGCTGTTCTCGGACTCCTGACCTCAGGTGATCCGCCCATCTCAGCCTCCCAAAGTACGGGGAGCACCGGCATGAGCCACTGCTCCCGGCCTTGTGTATCCTTTTATAGATATTCTGGCATATTTATTATGCTGATAAAACACTATACCAACAAAACGCAAAATCTACATAATATACTATATTGATTCATTTCACTTCATGTGGTGCCTAAGTTGTGCCATGCCCTGTGCTGGATTCACATAAAATACATTGTCTAGAGCCCCAAGGGTGTACACGTTGTGTATGTATGTCTGTTAAGAGGGAGTGTGGGTAGCTTACGCCTGTAATCCCAGCACTTTGGGAGGCTAAGGGGGGGGGGTGGATCACTTGAGATCAGGAGTTCGAGACCAGCATGACCAACGGGGTGAAACCCGGTCTCTATTAAAAATACAAAAATCAGGCCGGGTGCGGCGGCTCACGCCTGTAATCTCAGCACTTTGGGAGGCCGAGGCAGGTGGATCACCTGAGGTCGGGAATTCAAGACCAGCCTGACCAACATGGAAAAACCCCACCTCTACTAAAACTACAAAATTAGCTGGGGTGGTGGCACATGCCTGTAATCCCAGCTACTCAGGAGGTTGAGGCAGGAGAATCGCTTGAACCCAGGAGGCAGAGGTTGCGGTGATCCGAGATTGTGCCATTGCACTCCAGCCTGGGTAAAAAAGAGCAAAACTCCGTCTCAAAGTAAATAAATAAATAAAATAAATAAAAATACAAAAATCAGCTGGGCATGGTGGCCCACACTTTACAAAAGCTTCTGGAAATACCACACTTCATCCTCAGGGAAACCTTGAGAGGTAGGAATTACTGAAAATACAAAATTAGCCAGACGTGGTGTAGTCTCAGGAGTCTGAGGCACAAGTATCCTTTGAACCTGGGAGGCAGGGTTGCAGTGAGCTGAGATCAGGCCACCGCACTCTGGTCTGAGTGACAGAGCAAGCCTCCCTCTCACGGGGGGGGGGGGGGGGGGGGGGGGGGGGGGGGGGGGGAAGAAGGGGTAGGGGCAACAGGTACCAAGGGACCATAATTAGTACAAGGTAAAATACAAGTGTGGGAGTGTCACATAGTGGTTAGTACTTGTTCTCAGAAGTCAGATTTGGTTTACGGTTCCAATTATGCGACTTGCTTTCAGTGTGACCCCATGTAATTCACTGAACCTGTGTAAGCCTATTTTTCCATCTATCAGACCAGATTAATAATAGTACCTACAGCCAGGCGCGGTGGCTCATGCCTGTAATCCCAGCACTTTGGGAGGTCAAGGCGGGGGGATCACAAGGTCAGGAGATCGAGACCATCCTAACACAGTGAAACCCCATCTCTACTAAAAATATAAAAAACTAGCTGGGTGTGGTGGGGGGCAGCCTGTCGTCCCAGCTACTTGGGAGGCAAGGGCAGGAGAATGGCATAAACCCAGGAGGCGGAGTTTGCAGTCAGCCGAGATCACGCCACTGCACTCCAGCCTGGGGGATGGAGAGAGACTCCAACTCAATAAAAATAATAACAATAATAATAATAATAATAGTACCTACTACTTCACTGAGTGTTGAGAGGAATAAAGCCAAAGTATACAAAGTGCCTGCCACATATTGAACTCTCAATAAATGTCTGCTAGAGGTTGCAGTGAGCCGAGATCAGGCCACTGCACTTCAGCCTGGGCGACAGAGTGAGGCTCTGTCTCGAAAAAATAAAATAAAATAAATAAATGTCTGCTAAAAAAAATAATTTTTAGGCCAAACACGGTGGCTCATGCCTGTAATCCCCAGCACTTTGGGATCACAGGCATGTGCCACCGAGTAGCTGGGATTACAGGCATGTGCCACCATGCCCGGCTAATTTTTGTATTTTTCTGTAGAGGCAAGGTTTCACCATGTTGCCCAGGTTGGTCTCGAACTTCTGGGGTCAAGCAATCCTCCAAGATTGCGCCATTGCACTCCAGCCTGGGTGACAAGAACAAGATTCCCTCTTAAAAAAAAAAAAAAAAGGCTCTAAAGCCAGACTTTTTTTTTTTTTTTTTGAGTCTCTTTCACCCAGGCTGGAGTGCAGTGGCACGGTCTCGGCTCACTGCAATCTCCGCCTCCCAGGTTCAAGTGATTCTCCTGCCTAAGCCTCCTGAGTACGTGGGATTACAGGTGCGCACCACCACGCTCGGTTAATTTTTGTATTTTTAATAGAGACGGGACTTCACCATGTTGGTCAGGGTGGTCTCGAACTCCTGACCTCGTGATTCGCCCACCTTGGCCTCCCAAAATGCTGGGATTACAGGCGTGAGCCACTGAGCCTGGCCGATTATTTTTCACTTTAAACATCTCAGGAAAGACCCAAAGAATCCTCAGGGTTTACACTCACAGTCCCTTGATTCCTGTATATTCCAAGATTTGTGGGAAGAAAAGGTACCAAGCTTGGAGTCAGGAGGCCTGATTTTTCTTCCTTTCACCAAGCTTCTCTAGTTCTGTTTCATTATCCCTATGACAACGACTAGCAACAGTGACTGGCATTTAGTAGGCCCTTCATAAATATATGTTGAATAAACTCTAAAAGAGGTAGCTTTTCAATCCAAGTTGAGTCCTTTCTTGGTCCTGTTGCAGGCAAGGGCAATGGTATCCTGCCCTGGGTGCACAAAGATGCAGGGAGGATCAATCGCAGAGCCTTTCCCAGAGAAGGGGCCCAAAGCGAGTCAACCTCTCTACTGAGCTTCCCACGAGGATGCTGGATCCCCAATCCCAACCATGGACACGTCTGACGGTCGCCGCCGTTAACGGGAATGATATGGCCCTTCCTCCCCCACTCCCCCTTCTCTTCTCCCCTTTCAACACTTGAATTGGGCTCTCCCGCTCCTTCCGCACAGCGCAGGACCCACACCAGCCCAAAACCTTCGCGGCCTGCTAGTTCCCACCCCTCCCGTCCTGGAGGACCGTAGGTGGACGCTCTTGCAGAGCGCCTCTCGCTGGTTGGGGCGGGGGTGGGCGGAGCCAGCACCGTCTGGGCTGTGGAAGCGGAGGGTGGGGACACTCTGGCCCGGTTCTCGGTGGTGCGGGAGCTGGCGCTAGCAGCGGCCGCTCTGGTCGGCGGACGTGCTGCCGAGTAGTCCCGGAAGCGAAGCAGCGATGGCGGAGAGTCCGACTGAGGAGGCGGCGACGGCGGGCGCCGGGGCGGCTGGCCCCGGGGCGAGCGGCGTTGCTGGTGTTGTTGGCGTTAGCGGCAGCGGCGGCGGGTTCGGGCCGCCTTTCCTGCCGGATGTGTGGGCGGCGGCAGCGGCAGCGGGCGGGGCCGGGAGCCCGGGGAGCGGCCTGGCTCCGCTGCCCGGGCTCCCGCCCTCGGCCGCTGCCCACGGGGCCGCGCTCCTTAGCCACTGGGACCCCACGCTCAGCTCCGACTGGGACGGCGAGCGCACCGCGCCGCAGTGTCTACTCCGGATCAAGCGGTGAGCCGGGGTTTTTCCTCCCCCAGCCCCGAGCTCCGGGGCTCGACCTTCCCCGTCCCCCACCCTCTCCCACTACAACTCACCCCCCACCCGCTGCGCTGCCCTCGCGGCGGCCCACCTCCACGGCCCAAATCTTGCCAGCTCCGGGCATCGGGATCCAAGTCCCTTCTCCCCCCACCCCCAGCCCCACAAGCACCAACCCTCGCCTCGTGTGCCCAGATCCGACCCCGCCCCTCGACAACCTCCCGTGAGCCCTCCGTCTTCATTCCGGCCACCTTCCCCCACCCCTCCCACCTCCGGTTGGAAACCCGACCCTTTCGCGCTTCAGTAACACCCCCTCCCGCCTTCGGCGCCGCCCCTATTTCCCCTTCCCCACCCCAACCTTGCTAGATGCTGCCCGCAGGCCCCACCCATCGGTCCCCTGTCTTCTCTGGAGCCCCGTTCCTAACAGACGAACTTATCTTCCTTTGCCCTGCCTCTGACTCGAGCCAGCCTTTGTTTTTATCTTCCGTTTTCCTCAGATTCCCTCCACACAGTCCTTTCCCCAGGTCTAGATCGCCTCCCTCACCCGAATCTTTCCTTGAACCCCTTTTCCACTGTCCCAAAGCTGTCCACTCTTACGCCTCTTCCAGAAACACAGGCTACCTCCCCCCCACTTCCCCAGTGCCACTCTGGATTGTAATATCCCACTCAGGAGCTTCTTTCTTGTATTTTCCCTCCCCCCACTCCCCACCCTTCCTGGATCATCTGTTTTACTTTTATGAAGCAAATATACTCAATTCAAATATAGGAACAAAGGCCTAAGTCCTTTCTGTGCTTATTTCTTGGGTGACTGATTTTAGATCCTATCATTTAGTGGATAATGTTTTCCAAAAGCACGTAGAATAGTACCTATCGCATAAGAAAAGGGCAGTACTCTTTAGCTGCTGTTAATCCTGAAACATTTGACTTCTCCCCATGCCCCCATCACAAGCATCTTCATTTAGGTGTTATTCCCCATGTTCCACGTCCTTTCACATGTCACTGTGTCTACTTTTCAAGGTTGTAATAAAAATTAATACAATGTGTGTAAAGTACCTGGCACAGTGCCTGCCACAGGAGGTGAACTCTGGAGGGGTTGCCACCTCTTACTGAAACTCAGCACTCAACTCTTTTCCTCCTTCAGCTATTTCAGTCATCCAATTAGCTGACATACCTTTGAGTTTGGCCAATACTTCTTTTCTCTGCTCTGTCGGCTATTTGCCCTTTTTATGTCCCTACCCACCCTAGCAAGTCCCTAGACTTTTCCCCACCTAGAATTTTTTCTTTAGCCCCTTACTCTCAACTGATCCATTCCAGTTGGTGAGATATGACTCAGAAATCTTCTCATCTCCTATAGAAGTCCACATGTCATCTTCCAGATGGGAGATTCTCAGCGCTTTCTGAGGGTGCCTCCCCAGCCTGAAGAGATCTCTACCCTTAGTCCCCTGAGCAAGAAGACCACCATGATAGTCTTACTCCCTGCTGGCTGGCTTGCTTCATACAATCCCTTTACCAACAAGGGTCCACTGTATAGTTTATAGAATTAGTTTTTTAGTGGAGTTGATGATGCCTTTCCAGTTACTAAAAAATCTTCATTTAGCATTCAGCTGTAGTACCTGAGAATCATGGAGGTGGGGAGTGAATGAATTGCCATGTGGGAGGAAGTGAGAGTAAGTGGAAAGTGGCTCTTCCAGGCTGACATTTGATGCCATTGGGATCTCTGATTTTTTTTTTCCCCTCTCCCTCCCCTCCCCCTGAGGAAACAATGTCCTTTTGATAATAATTGCTCTCTGCCTGCCTGAGAAGTACTCAGCTGGGATTTCTCAGCCAACAAGACAGTACAAACACTTGCAGTACCAAGCACCACTTTCTCAAACCCTGGCCTCATTGAGGTGATAACAACTGTCCCGCTCAAGGGATTCCCCCTTTCCCCACCTTCCTCACTGCTTCCCCCACCTCCTCTTGGTGTTATACAGGGATATCATGTCCATTTATAAGGAGCCTCCTCCAGGAATGTTCGTTGTACCTGATACCGTTGACATGACTAAGGTATGTAACTTGATGGGAGTTTGGGGGTTTTTGGGAAATCGGGGGCCATAAGGTTGGAAAAGCCTAAAAGATATTATTCAGCTCACCTCTCTGATTACACAGATGAAGAAATCAAGACCCCAGGAGAGTAAATGGCTTGTCCAAGGTCACATAGTGAGGTGGAGCAGCGCTTTGAAGAGGTGTCTGTTATTAGTGTACCCCATAGGTACTGATTGGCTTGGAAAATCCCAGTTCATGTCTGTTGTCGAAGCTTGACTATAGGGCTCTCTTTCACTCTCAAAAGTGCTCCTGTTTGGGTAATAAATTATATAGTCACCTTATCCATTGTACTACCCAGCTCTTCCCCCATCCCATTACTCTTGACGTTAACTATGGTACTATAAATCAGATGTAGGGAAGGTTGAGATAGGGCAAGCTTGACTGAAGTGTTTGTGGTTAAAGGACTTTGTTCAGGATCCTGTCCTTACTGGTTGCATTTAAATATCCCTTCCACCCCAAAGACTATACCTCTCTTGTCCTCCACACAGAGAGAAAGCTTAGTACATAATGTCACATTTCTCTGGCTTAGATACCTAGGCTTCTCTGTCACTGAGTGCTCTACCCACAGAAGTGCAGTTGCACTTAAACTGTTGTTGAAAGAAACCAGATTTCCTAAACCTAATGCCGTTTAACTAAAACACATAGTTTTCTTATGGTAAATTTCTTACAGTAAAAATTCAGATTTTGTATTGTTGGTGTATCTTTTTTTGTTGTTTTAAATAGATTTCCCTTCATACTTACTTTTTTCTTTTTATGTGGTTGGAAATGTTTTTCCTGGGACATCTTGTCCTCTGTCAAGTACCTGGGATCCCAGAGTTGATGCCATGTTGAGACCGGTTGAGTTTACTATTCCAGATGACTGAGAACCAGAATATGACCTAGGGTCTTGCCAGGAGGGCAAGGTGGGAACTGTAGACTTAGGCATTGGATTGCCACATCCTTTTCCTTTTGCTATTCAAATTCTTAGCAGACCTAAATGCTTAGGAGCCTTTGTAGAAGAAGAAATATAACTGAATCAGTTCAGGTGTTCCTCCCTTCAGGGAGGGAAATCCTGTTCTAGAATTATGGTTTGAGGGGGAAGAGAATTGTGTCATTTTCAGGGCAGCTGATTTTTTTTTTTTTTTTTAACCAACAGTATTGGGGAAGGTTCTGGGGATGGTCTAATGGCTCTGAGTGGACCCTGAGTCTTGTGCTGCCTGAGCCACATCCTCCACAATAGGTTTGATCCTCTGCAGAGGAAGCAAGCAGATATCCTAGGCATCCATCACACCCCCTAACTCTACTCTGTTAGTGGCATAGGGCTGTGGCCTCCAATCCCTTTTCTCGTTTCCTTTCATCATAGTTTCCCTTCGTGCCACATAAATGTAGGTTGGGGTTGCATCATATGCATGTTTGGCCTGAGCAAATCCAAACATATATTCAGTCAAAATCTGTGTTGATTTCTTAAAATTAAAAATGCTAGGATTATATTTTATAGATAAGCATATTATATTTTTGCACAGTGGTGTTTTATCCATTATATGTAACACTGATCAGGGAGGTCTGCACACACACACAAAAAACATGCTTTAAGAGAGTTTTAAGGGATACTTGAGTGATTTTGACTAGGTTCAGTTTTTGCCTTGGGCTCTAACTTTAGAAGTAACCCCTGAGTAAGATGTCATTCCACTGTAATGAGATTTCTTAAAATTCCAAACCTATACATATTAGTATGAGTGAATACAGGATGTTCCTTCTGCATGGTGAGGATGTAGAACATGTGTACCAGATTATGGGCTCTGCTTCTGGTGTGGGTAGTAGGTGGAGGGTAGCCAGAAGGGGTTGGGGTGGGTCGTCACCTCACAATTTTGAGATGGGGTTTTATTTTGCAGATTCATGCATTGATCACAGGCCCATTTGACACTCCTTATGAAGGGGGTTTCTTCCTGTTCGTGTTTCGGTGTCCGCCCGACTATCCCATCCACCCACCTCGGGTCAAACTGATGACAACGGGCAATAACACAGTGAGGTTTAACCCCAACTTCTACCGCAATGGGAAAGTCTGCTTGAGTATTCTAGGGTAAGAGGAGACTTTTAAGTAGCCAAGTCGGTTGTTAGCAGATAATTACTCTAGGTCAGCCTTTATCAACCGGAGTCCCTCATCTGAACTACAGAATACAGAAAATGATTGAGTGACTCTTCTCAAATCTCCTCAGGATGGTATGTGACTAGTATCATTGTAGATGCAGAGGGGAGAAGTTAATTTATTACAGTGGAAACCTTTGAGAAGTGGTTCTCTTAAGAGAGTGGCCCCGAGCATCTGGGAACTTGTAGCCGAGCACTTTCTGGGACCCTACGTTAGACCTGCAAAAGAAATTCTGAGGTTGGGGCCAAAAATCTGGTTTTTTTGGTGGTTGTTTTTTGTTTGTTTGTTTTGAGACGGAGTCTTGCTCTGTCACCAGACTGGAGTGCAAGTGGTGCGATCTCGGCTCACTGCAACCTCCGCCTCCCAGATTCAAGCGATTCTCCTGCCGCGGTCTCCCGAGTAGCTGGGGCTGCAGGTGTGTGCCACCACACCCAGCTAATTTTTTGTATTTTTAGTAGAGACGGGGTTTCACCATGTTGGCCAGGATGGTCTCGATCTCTTGACCTCATCATCCACTCACTTCGGCCTCCCAAAGTGCTGGGGTTACAGGCGTGAGCCACCATGCCCGGCCCAGTAATCTGTTTTTTACAAGCTCTCCAGATGATTGTGGTGCATACTCCAGTTTCAGAACCACTCTCCTGGGGTGTTAAGGCCTTATTTTCTCTCCTGAACAGGTTGAGAAAGGCTGCAGGTCTGTGCCATTCAAGATTTGGGGTATCTTAATTTGAGTCTCACAATAAGTTGCTTTGAAGACTGTGGCGGCGGCGGTGGTGGTGGTGATCATTACGATTTCAGTTTTTTTTGTTTCTTTGGTTTTTTTGGGTTTTTTTTGTTTTCGGTAGAGGCAGGTGTCTCACTTTGTTGCCCAGGCTGGTCTTGAATTCTTGTCCTCAAGCAGTCCTCCTGTTGTGGCTCCCAAAGCACTGGGGTTACAGGCATGAGCCTCCATGCTTGACCTGATTATAGTATTTTAACAATGACAAATGTCTGAGATAGAAATCTTTTTTTTTTTTTTTTTTGACGGAGTCTTGCTGTGTCCCCCAGGCTGGAGTACACTGGCACAATCTTGGCCCACTGCAAGCTCCGCCTCCCAGGTTCCTGCCATTCTCCTGCCTCAGCCTCCCCAGTAGCTGGGACTACAGGTGCCTGCCACCGTGCCCGGCTAATTTTTTGTATTTTTAGTAGAGATGGGGTTTCACTGTGTTAGCCAGGATGGTCTCGATCTCCTGACATTGTGATCCACCTACCTCGGCCTCCCAGTGGAAATCATATTATATATAAAATGAGTTTCTAGTGCATCTTCTTTCTGGATGCTTCTGAGGTTTTGCTTCGTAGAGTTCCCATTTTAGTTGCCTTTGGGGTCTGAAAACTCAGTGTGGACATGTCTTCTAGCATATTTTGGATTGGTCTTTTTATAGTGGTCTGAACTTCTCTGGGGCAGAGAACACGTGCAGGTTGAAGTTGAGAAAGTACCCCCAAACTGATGATTCTGTTTTCCTTCTATCCAACATGTTTCCAGGTTTGTGTGAGGGAAGGGCAGCGTTTGAAATAAACTTAGAGACATGATTCATTTTTCTAGAACTTGCTCAGACCCAGGGATATGTTCTGCTGTGATTTTGGCAGTGAAGAAGTCCTTTAAAGGAGGCTGTCCTTAAAGAAGTACTTCATCTTGTTAGGGTACTTAATTAATTGTCTTTGCTGGTAGGCTAAAACCCATGATGGTAAAGAAATTTAGTCATTGCTTCTGTATGAAGTTTGTTCATGAAAGCATGTCTCAGAGTAGGCTCTCCCTCATTGGGTCAATATAAAACTTTTGAGATACCAACGACAGGACAGTGGGGTAAAAGTAGTAGAAGTGTGTTAGGTAGACAAGGAAAAGCTGTCCTGAAATTGAAAATCTGCCGTAAAGAATCACAGAGTAGAAAATTCAGCCGGGTGTGGTGGCTCACACCTGTAATCCCAGCACTTTGGGAGGCCGAGGCGCGTGGATCACCTGAGGTCAGGAGTTTGAGACCAGCCTGGCCTGGCGAAACCCTGTCTCTACTAAAAATACAAAAATTAGCGAGGCATGGTGGCGCGTGCCTCTAGTCCCAGCTACTCGGGAGGCTGAGGCATGAGAAGTGCTTGAATCTGGGAGGCAGAGGTTGCAGTGAGCCAAGATCACGCCACTGCACTCCAGCCTGGGTGACAGAGGGAGACTTTGTCTCAAAAAAAGAAAGAAAATTCTTAGGTGTTCCTAGTTGACTGTATTAGCTTTATCAGCCTTGTTTTTTTTTTCCCCCCTCTACCTAGAAAACAATGTTGGGCTGACTCACTGACTAAATAAATTTAATGAGAGTTGACACTGTTGTAAAGCTTCAGAGAGGGGTAGGTCTAGAGTTTCTGGGGAAGCAAAGCTGAAAAGAGAGAAGACTTAAGAGCAGCCCCCAGTGAAGCTACCATTAGGCATTACTCACTTGGGCTTTCCTCAGGTACCGCAGGGAAAGGGAAGTGGGCAATCAACTTGAACAAGCCAGTCCTGGCTTAGGTTGTGTTTGGTTTCCAGCTCCGGTGCCATCTCTTCAATTAATTGAGCTAAAAATAAATGTCATTAACATCCAAGCTGCCCACTCCCCCTAATACTTGGTTGGGTTTATGAAAGAGAGGAGCAATTTTGGTATTCGATGTTTTCCATATATTATTTTCACACCTTCCACTGTCTGGAAGCACTCTCTTCCTGTCCTTAGGTAGAGTTATGTAGTCTTAAGAGAATTTGACAGTCCTTGGGGGTTTGATACAAAACTGGATCCCCAATAGCCCCACCACATGGCCTCTAACCAGATGACTTCAGTCACCTGTTTGCTTCTATGTTCAACTTCTCTCTCCCCTCACTAACTCCATCACCACCCATAAACGGGCTCTTTGAGATCCACAGAGATTAACATTTAGACAACTTTTGGAGCTGATTGCTTACCTAATTTCTTTTGTTTTGATTGTCATAACTGTTTCTAGTACAAAGAAAATCCCTTCAAAGTTACATAGCTTGCTTTTACCTATTCTTTTGCCCCCCTTGATATGAGGATTAGGCAATTGACTGATTTCTGCTGAAATCAGAACATGAGCATGAGACAGAGGCTGGGAAATTCCAGAGTATTAATAGTGAAAGAGAAACTTATGGTGAGTCACTTATGGTGGTATTGCCGGGCCCCAGGTCTCTGCCTCACCCTCCCTTCCTTCTGATGTGTTTACAGTACATGGACTGGACCTGCCTGGAGCCCAGCCCAGAGCATCTCCTCCGTGCTCATCTCTATCCAGTCCCTGATGACTGAGAACCCCTATCACAATGAGCCTGGCTTTGAACAGGTAAGGCCAGATGAGCCTGGGGAGAGTAGACTAGTGTTTTTGGTTGGTTGGTTGGTTGGTTATGTTTTTTTTGTTTTGTTTTTTGTTTGTTTGTTTTTTCTGAGACAGTCTTGCTCTGTCACCTAGGCTAGAGTGCAGTGGTGCAATCTCGGCTCACTGCAAGCTCCACCTCCCGGGTTCAAGCCATTCTGTCTCAGCCTCCCGAATAGCTGGGAGTACAGGCATGCACCACCATGCCTGGCTAGTTTTTGTATTTTTAGTAGAGACGGGGTTTCACCATATTGGCCAGGCTGGCCTCAAACTCCTACCCTGGTGATCCGCCTGCCTCGGCCTCCCAAAGTGCTGGGATTATAGATGTGAGCCACCATGCCCGGCCAGAATAGTGTTTTAAGAGATCTGCTTGGGAGGTTTTTTTGTTTTGTTTTGGACCTAGCACAGCCCCATGTACTACAGTTGTTGCTATAGGAAAAAAAAGGGAATTGACATGTGTTTTTTAGTAATGAAATTTTTTGCCGGCTATGGTGGCTCACGCCTGTAATCCCACTTTGGGAGGCTGAGGCAGGCAGGTGGATCACCTGAGGTCAGCAGTTTGAGACCAGCCTGGCCAACCTGGTAAAACCGCATCTCTACTAAAAATTAACTGATCAGAAGTTTGAGACCAGCCTGGCCAACATGGTGAAAACCTGTCTCTACTAAAAATACAGTAAATTAGCTGGGCGTGGTCACTTGAACCCTGGAGGCAGAGGTTGCAGTGAGCTGAGATCACGCCATTGCACTCTAGCCTGGGCGACAAGCAAAACTCCGTCCTCCCTGCCCCCCCAAAAATAATAATAATGAAATTTTTTATTTGTGAGAGTTAAAATAAATATGTGACTTGGATTCCTTTACAACATGGAAGTCAATGGACTCAATTGGAAATTAATTCTGAGCCTGCTTTGGGGGTTGTGGCATCTAGTGGGTTCTATGTGCCTGTATCCTCAGCATCCCCTGAAGTTGCTCTATAGGGACTACTGTTCAGCCAGCTGTTCTTCTGGAGTTATGAAGGACTGTTGCCTGCAGAGCCAAAGGAGTCATTAGGAGTCCTGGGAAAGACTTTTTGAGTTAACAGTGCCAATGAGAAGGTGGAGAAAACTCACATTTTTCCAAGAGCATGCTCTGTGCTGGACACTACTGAGTTTTTTTTATGTAATTTCTTGTTTAACCTTCATACTATGTGAGGTTAAATATTGTTATTCCCATTTTCAAGTGAAATAATGTTGCCTCAGAGAGGTTAATTAACTTTCACAAGGACACAGTTCAAGATAGGACCCCAGACTTAACATTGGAGCCCAAGTTCTCCCACTATTCTGATGTGCCTTCCTGAATTATGAGCACGGGAAAAAGTTCCAGTGATAGTCCCAAAAGAAAATGATTCCAGATAGGTGATTAGAACAGCTTAATTGATTGATGTATTTATTTTTTGAGACAGAGTTTTATTCTTGTTACCCAGGCTGGAGTGTAATGGTGCATTCTTGGCTCATAGCAACCTCTGCCTCCCAGGTTCAAGTGATTCTTCTGCCTCAGCTGCCCGAGTAGCTGAGATTACAGGCACGCACCACCATGCCTGACTAATTTTTTGTATTTGTAGTAGAGAAGGTGTTTCACCATGTTGGCCAGGCTGGTCTCGAATTCCTGACCTCAGGTGATCCACTTGCCTTGGCCTCCGAAAGTGCTGGGATTACAGGTGTGAGCAACCATGCCTAGCCAGCTTAATTTATTTTTAAACTACTACAGATGACACCAACTTTGATTATTTCTCTATCGACCTGAACAAAGGATAACAAAATACCTTTCAAAAATGAAAAAAAAATTTTTTTGAGACGGAGTCTCACTCCATCGCTCAGGCTGGAGTGCAGTGGCTTGATCTTGGCTCCACCTCCCAGGATCAAGCAGTTCTGCCACAGCCTCCCGAGGAGCTAGGACTACAGGCACACACCACCACGCCTGGCTAATTTTTGTATTTTTAGTAGAAATGGCGTTTCACCATGTTGGCTGGGCTGGTCTCGAACTCCTGACCTTAGGTGATCAGCCTGCCTCAGCGTCACAAAGTGGTGGGATCACAGGCGTGAACCACCGAATCTGGCTTCAAAAGTTAACTAAAATTATTCCCTAATCCATCCTTTCTCCAAACAGTCATTTCAGGAGGAGATTCTAATTGAAATAGACCTCATTAGCAGGAGCTGATTTGTAGGTTTTATCTTTTTTTTTTTTTTTTTGGAGGCAGACTCTCATTCTGTCACCCAGGCTGGAGTGCAGTGGTGTGATCTCAGCTCAGTGCAACCTCTGCCTCCCAGGTTCAAGCGATTATAGTGCCTCAGCCTTCCTAAAGTAGCTGGGATTACAGGCACACACCACAACGCCTGGCTGATTTTTGTATTTGTAGTAGAGATGGGGTTTCGCCATGTTGGCCAGGCTTGTCTTGAACTCCTGGCCTCAAGCAATCTGCCCACGTCAGTCTCCCAAAGTGCTGGGATTACAGGTGTATGTGCCCAGCCTTGTGTTTTTTATTTTTTACTTCTACAATGACTTGCAGTTGTTTTTATTTTATTTTTTATTTTATTTATTTATTTACAGGCACGCACCACCACGCCCAGCTAATTTTTATATTTTTAGTAGAGACGGGGTTTCACTATTTTGGCCAGGCTGGTCTCCAATTCCTGACCTCGTGATCCACCTGCCTCGGCCTCCCAAAGTGCTGGGATTACAGGTGTGAGCTACCGCGCCTGGCCCATCAGCTGCTTTTATCAGAGGCCACGGCTCTAATTGACTGGGGTTGGTGGTAAGAGAAGAGCACAGGAAAAAGTAAAGAGGAGGCTGTACTCCCCTTCCATTCACACCATAGTGAGATCCTGTTTATATTGGCTTTCTAGACCAAAGTTGAAGTTTATCTTTTGAAAGTTTTAAGTTCTGCTTCTGCTAGATTTATTTCTAATTTCACTATTTCTTTGAGACAAAGTCTTGCTCTGTCACCCAGGCTGGAGTACAGTGGCACAGTCATAGCTCACTGAAGCCTCGAACTCCTGGGCTCTAGCCATCCTCTCGCCTCAGCCTCCTGAGTAGCTGGGACGACAGGTGCACATCACCAATGCCCAGCTAATTTTTGTATTTTTTATAGAGACGGGATCTCACCATGTTGCCGATGCTGATCCTGAACTTCTGAACTCAAGCAATCCGCCTGCATCGGCTTCCCAAAGTGTCGGAAGTACAGGCATGAGCCGTCGGGCCCAGCCCTACTTCTGATTTATAATAATTGGTTCAATGATGGTGGGACCCTAGAGACATATAACAGGTAAAGGGGTTAACCAGGAAGCATCCTTTACTTGTTGGTGCCTAAAGGTTTTCCACGCTGAGACTCTTCACTTCATTTATACCTTTTTGTCCCACCATCATTCTTTCTTTCTTTTTTTTTTCTCCCCCTAAAAAGACAAGTGTTTCCCAGCCTGGGAAACCTAGTGAGACCTTGTCTCTACTGAAAAAATTAAAAAAAAAAAAAAAATAGCTGGGCATTATGACATGCACCTTGAGTCCCAGCTACTTGGGAAGCTGAGGAGAGGAACATCGCTTGAGCCCAGGAATTCAAGGCAGCAGTAACCTCTGATCATGCCACCACTTTCCAGCCTGGACGACAAAGCAAGAGCCCACCTCTTAAAAATTTTTTAAATAAAAGACAAATAAACTGGGTGCGGTGGCTCATACCTGTAATCCCAGCACTTTGGGAGGCTCAGGCGGGTGGATTACCTGAGGTCAGGCGTTCAGGACCAGCCTGGCCAACATGGTGAAACCCCGTCTCTACTAAAAAATACAAAAATTAGCCGGGCATGGTAGCGGGCACCTACAATTCCAGCTACTTGGAAGGCTGAGACAGGAAAATTGCTGGAACCCAGGAGGCGGAGGTTGCAGTGAGCTGAGATCGTGCCATTGCACTCCAACCTGGGCGACGAGCAAAACTCAAAAAACAAATAAATAATAAAAAATACAAACTTGGGACCCGCTGTGGTGACTAATGTCTTTAGTCCCAGCTACTCAGGAGGCCGAAGTGGGAGAATTGCTAGAGCCCAGGAGTTCGAGGATCCCTAGAGCCCAGGAGGTGAAGGCTGCAGTTAGCTATGATTGTGCCACTGCATTCCAGCCTGGGCAACAGCAAAGACCCTGTCTCCAAAAAGAAAACTGAAAAAACAGGATCTTTCTTTGTTGTCTAGGCTGAACCCAAACTCCTGGGCTCAAGTGATCCTCACACCTCAGCTTCCTGAGTAGCTGGGACTACTGGTGCATGCCACAAGGCTTAGCAACCCTACCATCATTCTTATGTTTGGTTATTTCCCTCGTAATCTTTACTTGATAGGCCTTTCACTTGACATTCAGGAAAATGATGTGGATCTAGTTTGCTGGTTATAGGCCAAATGACCTGCAACCTGGTGGTATATTTGGAGGGTGGTGGGGCGAATGGTGTCAAAAATAAAGGTGTGGTTGCTCTTCATGGATCTGCCATATAGTGGGAAAGGTATTTTTTAGTTTGTATGACTGGCTTACATACCCCATACTAATCTTGAAGTCTCTTCCCATTGGCTTTCTTTTTGCTTAAATTTTGGGATACTCTGGCATCTGTTACATTACAGGAGAGACATCCAGGAGACAGCAAAAACTATAATGAATGTATCCGGCACGAGACCATCAGAGTTGCAGTCTGTGACATGATGGAAGGAAAGTGTCCCTGTCCTGAACCCCTACGGTATGTGTCAAGAGGGCTTGCTTGGTATTATTCCTTTGGGGCACTTGGGTAGTTGGCACCTTTGAGGAACTTTGGGGCAGAGACAGTGTTGGGCACCAGAGGGAGATAGAGAAGAAGGAAAGATGTGGTTCCTGCTTTTAAAGAACAAGCGGCTGAGGGTTACCCAAGAGAAAGTTCAGAGAGCTACTGTGTTGGAGAACGCCAAGCCTTTGGGAGAGGCAGTCCACACCGTCAGGGAGTTTCCAGTTTGATGAAGGCTTGGATGTACTTTTTTCCAGCCAAATGTGTAGAGCACTTCATAATAAACTCATTTCTTAGTGCTAAAGTTTATTTTTATTATTATTTATTTATTTATTTATTTATTTTGAGATGGAATCCCGCTGTGTCACCCAGGCTGGAGTGCAGTGGCCGGATCTCAGCTCACTGCAAGCTCCGCCTCCCGAGTTTACGCCATTCCCCTGCCTCAGCCTCCCGAGTAGCTGGGACTACAGGTGCCCGCCACCTCGCCTGGCTAGTTTTTTGTGTTTTTTAGTAGAGATGGGGTTTCACCGTGTTAGCCAGGATGGTCTCGATCTTCTGCCCTCGTGATCCGCCCGTCTTGGCCTCCCGAAGTGCTGGGATTACAGGCTTCAGCCACTGTGCCCGGCCTGAAGTTTAAGTGCCAAAACTGGATGAGCAATGTCAGGGTTAGATAAATAAATTTCTAGGAGAATTTTGAGTAAGGTTTGCGATTAGGGATGGCCTGTGAAAAACAATTGAGGTGAAGCAAGTCATGAGTTGAAGTTGGGATTCAAATGGTGAGTACTGGCCTGGTGGTGGCTCACGCCTATAATCCTAGTGCTTGGGAGGCTGAGGCGGGAGGATCACTTGAGACCAGGAGTTCGAGACCATCCTAGGCAACATAGGGAGACCCTATCTCTACAAAAATTTTAAAATTAGCCAGGTGTAATGGCATGCTCCTGCAGTCACAGCCACTCAGGAGGCTGAGGTGGGAGGATTGCTTGAGCCTAGGAGGTTGAGACTGCAGTGAGCTGTGATCACACCACTGCACTCCAGCCTAGGTAACAGCAAGACCCTGCCTCAAAAAGAAAACAAATGATGAGTATTTACAGTCACTCTCATAATTCCCAACGTGTCGGGGAAGTCAACCACGGGCAATTAGATGTTCCTTTTTCCATTTTACATTTAAAGATCCTTGTAGAAGCGGGGCACAGTGACTCACGCCTGTAATCCCAGCACTTTGGCAGGCCAAGGAGGGCAGATCACGAGGTCAGGAGTTCAGCACCAGCCTGACCAACATGCTGAAACCCCATCTTTGCTAAAAATACAAAAATTACCTGGGTGTGTGGGCACGCACCTGTAATCCCAGCTACTCAGGAGGCTGAGGCGTGAGAATCACTTGAACCCGGGAGGCGGAGGTTGCGGTGAGCCAAGATTGTGCCACTGCACTCCAGCCTGGGCAAAAGAGCGAGACTCAGTCTCAAAAAACTTAAAAAATAAAAAATAAAATAAAAAGATCTTTGTAGAAAACAGATTTGGACTTGGGAATGGTAGGTGTTTAATTTGGCATTAAGGTTAGGTAAGGAGGCTAGGCGTGGTGGTTCACACCTGTAATCCCAGCACTTTGGGAGGCAACGCAGGTGGATCACTTGAGGTCAGGAGTTCCTGACCAGCCTGACCAACATGGTGAAACCCCATCTCTACTAAAAACAAAAATTAGCCAGGCGTGATGGCACATGTCTGTAATCCCTGCTACTCAGGAGGCTGAGGCAGGAGAATTGCATGAACGCGAGAGGCAGAGGTCATAGGGAGCTGAGATTGCGCCACTGCACTCCAGCCTGGGTGACAGAGCAAGACTCCGTCCGGGGAAAAAAAAAAAAACAAAACAGTTAGGTGAGGAAGGGGTGATCTGTACCCCTAGGTTTCTGACCTTTTCTGCTTGTTTTCCAGAGGGGTGATGGAAAAGTCCTTTCTGGAGTATTATGACTTCTATGAGGTGGCCTGCAAAGATCGCCTGCACCTTCAAGGCCAAACTATGCAGGTAATACAACTCCTGCTGCTAATTGTAGAAGCCCTACAGCTGGCCATTGTTCATTTGCCTCTACTGGCAAAAGTGTGCTTTTGCTTCCAGTAAGAACTCAGAATTTGGGCTTGTTTTAAGGAAGGAGGCTATCGTTGACCAAATTGTAGATAGACAGGTGCAGTGGCTCATGCCTGTACTCTCAGCACTTTGGGAGGCAAAGGTAGGCAGATCTCTCGAGGCCAGTAGTCCAAGACCAGCCTGGCCAACATGGTGAAACCCCATCTCTACTAAAAAGACAAAAATTACCCAGTCTTGATGGCTCATGCCTGTAATCCCAGCTACTTGGGAAGCTGAGGGATGAGAAATGCTTAAACCTGGGAGGCAGAGGTTGCAGTAAGCTGTGATTGCACTACTGCACTCCAACCTGAGCAGCAGGACAAGATTTCTGTCTGCGAAAACAACAACAACAAAAACACATTATTGATAGACTAATGTAAACTTTACCACCTGGTTGGTAAGAGGATGAGAATTCTCCTGTCCTGGAGAATCAGTTCTGTGTATTTGGATCATCTTACTGGTGGTCTTGCTTAGAAATGGGAGACTTGTGGGGCCCAGCACAGTGGCTCATACCTGTAATCCCAGTACTTTGGTAGGCCAAGGCAGACAGATCACTTGAGGTCAAGAGTTTGAGACCAGCCTGGCCAACATGGTGAAATCCTGCCTCTACTAAAAATAGAATAAGCCAGATGTGGTGGTTCGTGCCTGTAATCCCAGCTACTTGGGAGGCTGAGGCACAAGAATTGTTTGAACCCAGGAGGCAGAGGTTGCAGTGAGCCGAGATCACGTTGTTGCACTCCAGCCTTGGCAATAGAGCCAGACTCCACCTCAAAAAAAAAAAAAAAATGGGTAACTTGGGTAATTGACTTAAGATTTCTTAAGGCTCTCTCCAGCTCTCGTACTATGTCTATTCACCCACCCAACACCAACAGCAGTAGGAGGAGATGACTTATTCTCTCCAGTGCTACTTATAAATGGTAGTTTTCCCTTCCTTCCTTCAAGGACTTTCCACCCACCTGTCTCATTTAAGCACAAAGGGCAGGGCTGGCTTAGGACTAAGTTGTCTCCTAAAGCCTTTTTGAGAGTATATCAATGACTTATGTCCTAGTTTGTTCCCCATCAGGAATTCTAATTGCTGGTATCCAACAGCATTAGCGATACCAGTGTGTAAAGGAAAAACAACTGGTGATGAGGGATGGGAAGGGGGACAGCATCTGGGCAGAAGGAGAATTAGAGGAGTTGGAGCCATGGATGAAAGAAGATTTGTAGAATTGACAGCTTCATAGATAAATGTGGAGCTCAGTCATGAGGGAGTTAACTTTCATGAATGAGAAGTGCAGGCTGTAGTCCCAGTGACTGTGACTAGCACCCACTGCCATCCCACTCAGGATGAGGGTAATGTGTGGGTAGAAGTGTGGAAGGAATTCTTGTGAGAGAAGCAAACAATGTGAGAGGGAAAGTTGTGTACCTTTTGGGGGCTGTCGCACTACTTTGCTGCCTAAGTCCCTATATAGTATTTTAAACTTTTTTATACCATCCACTCAACTAGTTGTTTTTGAGACTTTGGGGGCAATTAAACCTTTCTGTAAAATGTTTAGGGATCTTTGATCTAGAATGAGAAGGACTAAGATCAAGGCTAGGTGGCCCTGGAGCAATGCCCAGAAACCTGGACAGGAATGGAGTGACAAGTCCCTGGGGAGGAGTACAGGTGCTTATCTGAAAGTCAGAACTCTTGAGTTCTAGACCTGCCTGTGACCTTAGAAAAGCAAATTGCCATTTTTGAGTACAGAGAATAAAGGGCAACTTTTACTTTCTGTGGTTTTTATGAGGTTAATTAAAAACATAGGTATACTTTATAATTCTGGTCTTGAATTTCTCTTCCCTATCTATCTCACCCTTACTGTCCCTTCTTCCGGATATTGGTTTGCTTTTGAGGAATACCAATACATATTCACTCTAGCCCAAGCTACACCTATTTGGGGCAGTAAGGGTATCTTTTTTTTTTTTTTTTTTTTTTTGGAGACAGTTTCAGTCTTGTTGCCCAGGCTGGAGTGTAATGGTGCGATCTTGATCTCAGCTCACTGCAACCTCTGCCTCCCAGGTTCCAGTGATTCTCCTGCCTCAGCCTCCCGAGTGGCTGGGATTACAGGCGTGCGTCACCATGCCCAGCTAATTTTGTATTTTTAGTAGAGACGGGGTTTCACCTTGTTGTTCAGACTGGTCTCAAACTCCCAACCTCAGGGGAGCCGCCCTCCTCGGCCTCCCAAAGTGGTGGCATTAACAGGCATGAGCCACGGTGCCTGGCCTAGGTGTCATATTTTTAAGCAAAGGTTATTTTGCCTGCTGTTCGGGACTACCTATGCTGTTAGGCCTTCCTGCTCCCATGGCTCAGAAGTTGAGCTTGCATTTCACATGAACCCAAAGCTGCTTTCTCTAGGATCGGCCACCCAAACTTGAATCTTCCATCCCCTTGTCTCCTTTCCCCCATAGGACCCTTTTGGAGAGAAGCGGGGCCACTTTGACTACCAGTCCCTCTTGATGCGCCTGGGACTGATTCGTCAGAAAGTGCTGGAGAGGCTCCATAATGAGAATGCAGAAATGGACTCTGATAGCAGCTCATCTGGGACAGAGACAGACCTTCACGGGAGCCTGAGGGTTTAGACCCTGCTCCCATCTCCCCTTTCCCCCCAACTCAAAGAGTCCCAGCAGAATTCCTTCCCCCCACCCCAGGGATGGAGAGGCACTGTGTATCTCCCTCCAGACTCGAAGTCATCCTGCAAGATGGCAAGAACCAAGCAAGCTCGGATCCCAGGGTGTGGGAGTGGGGGGCCTGTTCCTGGTCTGACCTCCTTGGCACTGGAGCATCTGGGGCGACGTTCATCTGTTCATCCCATATCAGGGGCCAAGGTACCTTTACAGGAGCACCTAGAGCGAGGGCCTCTGGCAAAAACAAAACAACCAACACACCTCTCCACAGGGCCAGCTCCTTAGGGATAAGTAGAAGACGAAAATTGCAGTTCCAAGAGGGATTGTGCCCAAATGATTTATGGGGATACCTGGAAGGGAGCTTGGGGTGGGGGCTGTCTGTGACACTTAAGCAGTCTGGGTGGTTGTCTATTTGTCTGTCTTCAGTCTTGAAGCAGGGCTTCCCAATGCCCTTTTCCTCCCTGCCTGCCTTCCCCCATTATTTCCCACAGGCCAGCATAATTTTGTTTTTCCTAATTTATAGTCACTGTTCTAGACAGACCAAAGAGAAGGAACAGTGGTGGAGTCTAGGCTGCTGATCAGTAAGCTTTACCTAGCACCTGAGCACCTTTCTCCCCTCCCCCCTTTCCTCACCCTTTTCTAGATGTAAGACAGAAGGTAAATGTGACTGGGACTTAACCAAGGTCTTGGTAAAGCCTGCATAGGCACCGTAAGAAGCTGAAAATATGTTTGTTCCCACAATCACTGATTTGAAAAGTTCCTGGCACAGGCAGCTGCTGTGTATATGGGATTAGAGCCACTACATAGAATAGTCTTACAGATTTTCATAAATACTAGTCACAATGAGGGTATTTCTTTTGAGGGTGGAGTAAGTGGGAGACTGATGCTAGTCATTGTATTTTGTTGGGCTGTCCTTGTGTATTTTCACCCCAGCCTGTAGTCCTCCTCACTTCAACCCCAGGGATTTGTGGGGAGCAAGGGTAGCCAATGGCAGAGGGGATTGGGGCTGGGGCTCTGGAGGCTCCTCCCCTTCTTTCTCCTTCCGCCTCCCCTGTGCCCCCAGCTGCTCTTGTCACTGACTCTGATGGGTGTTTGCCTGGCTGTGTTGCTTCTCTGTATTTAGCTGCAGTGATCCTTTAGCTGGTTGGCTCAGAAAAAAAATGTGCTTTAGGTGCCCTGTAATCCTGGGCATCAAGGGAATCCATCCTTCCCCTTTTTGATATGTTCTCCCCATACTTCCAGATTTATTGTTATGGCTCCCAGTGGGTATTGGCAATTCTTGTGATGCAGGGCCTCAGTCAGTGTCCAGCCATGCATAAGGGAGAGGATAGTGTGTACCTGCCCTGCCCGCTGCTATGAAAGTCTCTGGCTTGTGGATCATGGGACTCCCCTTGGAGGATCTGTGCAAAGCGGGGCTGGGCAAAAAGGAGAATGTCCTACTTGGGAGGGCAGGAAGCAAAGGAACTGGACAGGGATTGGTGGGCTTGGGGAACGGAAGTTTATCTTGGATACTCATGAAGAGGCTGGGTCTCTTCACGTGAAGATTGAAAAGGGACCCTGCTTCCAATTTCCCTCTTCCATTCCTCAAGCTACTCCAGGGCTTAGAAAAATGCCCTTGGTCTGTGGGTCCAGTGTTGTCTGTCATCCATTTAAGTGTTCCCACTTTCAAGTGACAATCCTCTCCTTGGCCCTGCCATAGGGCAGAGCATGTCTGGCATAGCAGCCTGACTTTTATGCCCTAATCTTGAGTTGAGGAAATATATGCACAGGAGTCAAAGAGATGTCTTTATATCTGACTGTATATAAATGAAGTTTTCTTTTTTTTTTTTTTTTTTTTTTTTTTTTTTTTGGTGCAATAAAGTTTGTTTTGGCAGAAGGAGGAAGTGCCTGTGGGCATGGGAGGGCTTGTGTAAAGGAGGAGTGGGATCATCTTGTTAACTACACCTCACCTAGGCCTGGAACTGTTAGGGAGAAGGAAAGTACTGTGAATTGTCTGGAAGCCAAAGACTTGCATAACATGGTGGAAGGGCGGGGCCGGGTGGGGAGAGCAGGACAAGTTTTCTCATTGGAAATGGGGTTCATTTTTTAAGGCTCTGGTAGTCAGTGACATCTTAGTTTCAGCGGCTTCCAAAGACCTATTCCAGAACTTGGAGTGAGCATGTCCTACAAGGACAGGCAGAGGTAGAGATGGGCCCAGGCTATATCCTGCTAAAGGAAGGGTCTCAGTATGGAAAAACCATTGAGTTTTCAGATTTCCAGTACAGTAGCACTTTTTAAGGATCTTAGCCTTTAGACTAACGACTTTGGGAGCCTTAAACAACTCTGGCCTCTTCCCTCATCACTTCTACTTGCTGTAGGAGATTCTTGCTTTCTGATGCAGAAGCTTTTACTCTTGGCTGACCATGTGTGCAGAAAAATGTCTACACACAGTAGTATGTGCTGCCATTCTGTACTGTGCAGTGATACATGAAGGCATGGGCTCGGGTTAATAGGCCTAGGCTTCAGCTTTGGCTCCGCTGAAGCTGGCGGCCCCTGGCAAATTACTTTGATTCAATCACCTGTGACGCTGAAGGCTGCCTACTTGGTGAAATTTAAGTGAGCTATATGTAAAATGGGACAGGGTAGGTGTTCAGTAAATGACTCCCTTTCCCACTACTGAGGCTAGAGGGACCTGGCAATCTAGTACAGGAGGGTGAGAAAGCTAGTAGGGAATTTGAGAAAATAGAACATTCCCTAACTATTGTTTGATTCCCCTCAGAGTCCATTGTTTTCTTTCCTCCAGTTGAGCCACGATTGGACATTGACTTCTATTTCCTTCACACTCACAGCTAACTTTGTCATAACCTAGAGCCTCTACAGAGGAAACCAGAAGAGGCTGAAAGAGTGAATAGTATTTACTGGTCCATTAGGACCAGCTAGTTTGAGATAAGAAACATTTTATTAAAAATTTTTGAATTAGCATAGGCTGTAATCTATGTCTCACAGCTACAAAGACTAGACAGGCCAGGAAACAACCTGCATTCCAGGCCCAGCTCTTCCATGAACTTGCAGATGACCTGCACAAATCATTTTATATGTGCTTGCCGTTTTCTGTGTTAATCAGATTATCCTTACTGAATGAGCGAGGTCTTCTCCAATAAAGATGCAATGTGAAGGCACTTTTCAAAAATAAAAGAATGGGGGAAGAAAGAAAAACTTGGAACTTTTTCTATTTTTTTTTTTTTTTATAAACAAAACTACCCAGGTTTATTTGCCCTCCTCCTCCTCCCTGCCTGCTGCTGTGTGCCATTCCACACGCAGTCAGGGGAGGGCTTCTCTGGCCTCTTCAGCTGTAATCTCTTGGGAGTAGAGGTCAGTGAAGAGAGCTGGCAGCCAGTAGTGGGCCTCCCCTGGGGCCTGTAAATCCAGCCACGCCAACCCTTCCTTCAGCAGGTGTTCCTGGAGGGAAAAGGGAAGAAGAGCGGTTTGAGAACAGGGAGGTTCCGTAGACAAAGGGTAGGTAAGCAACCCCCAAACCTATTTCGGCTTCAGTGAGGTTTTCAAACTAAATCTACTAAGTGCCTTCAGACATTTACACAACCAACTAAATGAGCTGTTTGGCCTTGGCCTTTGCCTGAATGTGAAAAATGCTACGAAGTCATTTAACTTGTGCTGCTGAGGAAGAGGGGTAAAGCCTAGCATAGTGGGATATAGTGGAAAGAACACATGGCTACAGAAATATTTGCTGTATGGCCTTCAGCAAATCACTGCCTCCATTTTCCCAGAAACACCACAGAGATCACTGTTTTTTTTGTTTTTTTGTTTTTGAGGCGGAGTCTCGCTCTGTCACCCAGGCTGGAGTGCAATGGCTGGATCTCAGCTCACTGCAAGCTCCGCCTGCCGGGTTTATGCCATTCTCCTGCCTCAGCCTCCCGAGTAGCTGGGACTATAGGCGCCTGCCACCTCGCCCGGCTAGGTTTTTTTTTGTATTTTTTAGTAGAGACGGGGTTTCACCGTGTTAACCAGGATGGTCTCGATCTCCTGACCTCGTGATCCGCCCGTCTCGGCCTCCCAAAGTGCTGGGATTACAGGCTTGAGCCACCGCGCCCAGCCTGAGATCACTGTTTAGCTACCTTTGAGTTAACTTATACCAGGTAGCAAACATAATTGACCATACTTATGCAAGAATAGACTCAGTTCCTAGAGCTGGAAATATGCTCAAAATGGGTTGGTTCTGTCCAATATCATTAGGTAGATAAATATGTTATCCCCATTTTACAGATGAAATGAAAGGTTTAGACAGTTGAATTGCTTGGATAAGGAAAAAAGGTACTGAAGCCAGAGTTGTTAACATTGCTTCCTCTTCATTCATTCTTCAGTACCACGAAATGTGTATGTATAAAGCTAGAGTATATACTATGCAATATAATGCTTAGTGGATAATTACAGATATGTAATTAACATAGTTAATAATTCCCATCACTGTACTAACAGTGTTACTTTCAGTACAGACTACATTAATCTCCTGACCAGTCCAGGCTCAGCATGTTCAGGAAAGAGAGTGTCGGTTCCCCAAGTAGCAGGGGCAGCCTGGTATTGTGTGCACACCAGAGTTAGGAACCTGCCTTCCTGAGTTCTACCTTCTTGGTAGCATGAAGAGAAGTGCTGGGCTTCCTTCTAGCATGGCAGCAATAGCCTTCAAGGCAGAAGGCCGGCAAAGCAATCCTGAAGCTCCTGCCTTTGTGAAACCCACATCCCCCCAACTGGGGACTGCCTTTGTGGAACCCACATCCTCCCAACTGGGGCCTGTCTTTTCTGGACTGTTCCAAAGTTGCATACCAGCACTTGCCGCGCTCGCTCGGTCTCCCATTTAAGACTGGCTTTGATCTCACTGACAGTCACGTAGCCATTCTTCTGAAGGAAGGAGGAATGGGGATTGAATCAGTTAAACAGTGCACCTTCCCTTAGAACCCAGGACCTGCCCAGGAACAACAGACTTATCCAGACAGGAGGAAAAGCTGTCAAGCATGAGGGAACACAGAAAATGTTTAAAGGTTCCAGCGGGGGGCCGGGCGCGGTGGCTCAAGCCTGTAATCCCAGTACTTTGGGAGGCCGAGACGGGCGGATCACGAGGTCAGGAGATCGAGACCATCCTGACTAACACGGTGAAACCCCGTCTCTACTAAAAATACAAAAAACTAGCCGGGCGAGGTGGCGGGCGCCTGTAGTCCCAGCTACTCCGGAGGCTGAGGCAGGAGAATGGCGCAAACCCGGGAGGCGGAGCTTGCAGTGAGCTGAGATCCGGCCACTGCACTCCAGCCCGGGCTACAGAGCAAGACTCCGTCTCAAAAAAATAAATAAATAAATAAATAAATAAAAAAGGTTCCAGCGGGGAGAGAGACAAGTGACTCAGCATGACAGAGGTAGGTTGGTGGGTTCAATCTTAAAAGTGGAGTCCAGGCCGGGCACGGTGGCTCATGCCTGTGATCCTAGCACTTAGAAAGGCTGAGGTGGGGGTATCACCTGAGGTCAAGAGTTCGAGACCAGCTTTGCCAACATGGTGAAACCCCATCTCTACTAAAAATACAAAAATTAGCCGGGCATGGTGGCACATGCCTGTAATCCCAGCTACTCGGGAGGCTGAAGCAGGAGAATCGTTGGAACCTGAGAGGTGGAGGCTGCAGTGAGCCAGAGATTGTGCCACTGCATGCCAGCCTGGGCGACAGAGTGAGACTCCATCCCAAAAAAACAAAAAAAGTGGGTCCCTTGTACTAACATGTTAAGTTAGACTTCTGCAAAGCACTCTAGAGCATGACAAGGGAAGATTCTGAACAATTAACTGATAGGAAGAAGAATCATAAACTGCTAATAATATCCATTATTTAAATATTCAGCCCTTGCCCTGCCTCATGCTACTCATCCTCCAATACAGAAAAGCCCCTCCCTTATTTAGTTCTGTTTTACATTATAAAGAAAACTGGGCCAGGCGAGGTGGCTCACGCCTATAATCCCAGAACTTTGGGAGGCCGAGGCGGGCACATCACCTGAGGTCGGGAGTTCGAGACCAGCCTGGCCAACATGGAGAACCCTCATCTCTACTAAAATTACAAAATTAGCTGGGCGTGGTGGCACACGCCTGTAATCCCAGCTACTTGGGAGGCTGAGGCAGGAGAATCACTTGAGCCCAGGAGGCTGAGATCGTAGTAAGCCAAGATTGCGCGACTGCACTTTGGCCTGGGCAACGAGTGAAACTCCATCTCAAAAATAATAAAGAAAACTGAACATATCTACCCTAAAAAATTGATGGGGATTTGGGGGAAGATGGCATATGCTTAAGGCATAATGAGGGACAGAGGCATGGCAAACAAGATTTTTTAAAATCTGTTTTTGAAGAATCCATAAAGTTGTTTCAAAAGACATCAGAGTCTGGCTACCCAAAGAAATCTAGTTAGTTGTCTGCATGTCTGTCTACCTGATTAGACTGTAAGCTCCTTGAGAGCAGGAATTTTATCATTCCTATCTTTATATGCCCCACAGCCTGGCCCAGTGCTTTGCACTGTAGCTGCTCAATAAATGTCTGCTGAACAAGAACAGGCCTGAGTAGTTCATCCATTGGATAGTCTCAGCAAAAGACCTGCATAATGGGGAGCAGGAGCTCAGAACTGCTGACAGCCTTGCATCCCAGTACCTGCACACACACACACTCGAAGGTGCACCAGTACCTCTGCCAGCTGTAGCACCACGGTGTGATCCATATTGAGCTCAGCTGGAACAGACTGAATGAGGTAAGTGCCGCCCACAGGGATGATGCCGAAGCCAGTGCCAAGTGCCTTTAGTTTCTTGATGGCTCTGATCAGGTCGTCTCTGAGGTGAGGAAGAGTTGCTTAATGACCCTTGGCAGATCAGACCTAACAACACAGTTTCAGCTCTGCCCTGGGCAGGACACTGACAGAAAATTTAAAAGACTGCACAACTCCCAGGCGCAGTGGCTCATACCCATAATCCCAACACTTTTGGGATGCCCACATGAGAGGACTGCTTGAGCCCAAGGGTTAGAGACCAGCCTGGGCAACACAGCAAGACTTTGTCTTTACTAAAAAATAAAAAAATAAAAAATTAGCAGGGCATGGTGGCAATCGCCTATAGTCCTTGGAAGGCTGAGGTAGGAGGATCACTTGAGCCCAGGAGTTCAAGGCTGCAGTGAGCTGTGATTGTGCACCACTGTACTCCAACCTGGGTGACAGAGCAAGACCCTGCCTCTAAAATAATAAAAGGCTGCACAACACTCAACTATGTCAGTAAAAAGACAGGGTCAAGGAGCAATAAGTGATGCTTTGACAATCATAGGAGTCAGGCTCTCTGCTCAGCAAACCACTCATTCCAACACCCAGACAGAGGTCAAAGATACACCTGCAGATGTCCATCAGGAAACGTGAATGAGTGAGCTGAAGAGGCAATAGGGGGTAGTGTCACCTGTGGCAAACTAGAGAATGCTTATCTACTTTAAAGGGGGCAACCCAGCTGATTATTGCCAAGTAGAAATTCAAGCCCAATACTGCCAAGTTTTCTGATTCTAACTGAAATCAGAGAAGAAGAAAACCTACAAAACAGTGTGTAGATCACATATCCAGCCCACACACAGAGTTTAAAACCTCTGCCAAAGCTCAAAAATATATCACCCAAACAGCCAGGGAAAGGGCACTTTTAGGTAGATTGGAATGCATTCTCCAACTCTCAAGAATAGCAAACTGAAATGCTTCAAATGCTCACCCTCTCTTCATGAGAATTTGCAATGAGTATGGCTAGTAATCTTTTGTTATCACTTTCCTTTTTTTTTTTTTTAAAGAGATGAGGTCTTGGCCAGGTGCAGTGGCTTACACCTGTAATCCCTGCACTTTGGGAGGCCGAGAGTTTGAGACCAGCCTAGCCAACATGGTGAAACCCCATCTCCACTAAAAATACAAGAACTAGCAGGGCGTGGTGGCAGGTACCTGTAATCCCAGCTACTCGGGAGGCTCAGGCAGGAGAATCACTTGAACCGGGGAGGCAGAGGTTGCAGTGAGCCGAGATTGCGCCACTGCGCTCCAGCCTGGGCAACAGAGCGAGACTCCATTTCAAAAAAAAAAAGAAAAGCAGAGATGACATCTTGCTGTGTCCCAGGCTGGAGTGCAGTGGTGCAATCATAGCTCACTGCAGCCTACAACTATGGGTGCATGCCTCAACACCCAACTACTTTTTGTAGAGACAAGGTCTCACTACACTGCTCAGGCTGGTCTCAAACTCCTGTCTTCAAGCAATCCTCCCACCTCAGCCTCCCAAAGGGCTAGGATTACAGGTGTAAGCTACTGCACCCAGCCTCGTTACTTTTCTTTGAATATTCTAGGTCTTCAAGATCTCATAGTAGGCTGACTCCTTGGAAGTCACATCAAAAACAGCCTTTTATCTTTTCTCAAACTGGACTCACACATAGAGGCTGGTGAACTAGATCAATTTATATTCCATCATCTCACTACCACCTCCTTCCCCAGCCTTTCTAGGCACCTACTCTAGTCTCCTTGGCCTCAAATAATTTCAAGACTATATACAGCCCTTGGATACAGTCTAACACCTGCAATCCAAGCACTTTGGGAAGCTGAGGCGGGCAGATCACTTGAGGCCCGGAGTTCAAAACCAGCCTGGCCAACATGGTGAAACCCCATCTCTACTAAAAATACAAAAATTAGCCGGGCTTGGTGGTGCACACCTTGTAATCCCAGTTACTGGGGAGGCTGTGGCACAAGAATTGCTTGAATCCAGAAGGCAGAGGTTGCAGTGAGCTAAGATCAGGCCACTGCACTCCAGTCTGGGCGACAGCAAGACTCTTTCTCAAAGAAAAACAAAGACTATATATAGCCCCAAGTTTGTTAAAAAATAATACATGAAGAAATGCTTGGAAGGAACTACATTAAAATATATAGCAGTTGTAATCTCTTAGTTGAGAAATAATGGTTTTTGTTTCCCTTTTTATATCTCTATATTTTCTGTTTTCTAAAAATAGCCAGGCGTACGGGCCCATGCCTATAATCCCAACTACTTGGGAGGCTGAGGTGGGAGGATTCCTTGAGGCTGCAGGTAAGCAACGATCTTGGTAGCAGTAAGCAATGATCGTGCCACTGTACTCCAGCCTGGGCGACAGTGAGACCCTGTCTCTTATTTTTTGTTTGTTTCATTTTTTTTTTTTCTGTACAATATGGAGATCATACAGATTTCTAAGCTAGCCTAGACATGAGGAATAGGGAGAAAAGAGTTCCATCTGAATTTTTAAATTTTTTTTTATTTTAAGACGGAGTCTCACTCTGTTGCCCAGGCTGGAGTGCAGTGGCGCGGTCTCGGCTCACTGCAAGCTCTGCCTCCTGGGTTCACACCATTCTCCTGCCTCAGCCTCCTGAGTAGCTGGGACTACAGGCGCCTGCCACCACGCCTGGCTAATTTTTTGTATTTTTAGTAGAGACAGGGTTTCACTGTGTTAGCCAGGATGGTCTCGATGTCCTGACCTCATGATCCACCCACCTTGGCCTCCCAAAGTGCTGGGATTACAGGCGTGAGCCACCATGCCCAGCCCCCATCTGAATTTTAAAGACCTCTTTCTGTACTCCAAGGGACTGAAAGACAAGACCTACTGACTGACATCCTGGGCGAACTTGCCCCTTCCCTTCAACACCTGTTGATGTAGTTCCTCCAAAGTTATCAGACCTATTGGAGACAGAAATCAGAAAAAGAGATTACCCACTTTAAATAAGTCGACAGCCATTACATTCCAGTGGCCTACGAATAGCAAGTAACATTCTAGTTCCTAATTTTTTTTAACTCTCTCCTTGGCCGGGCACAGTGGCTCGCGCCTGTAATCCCAGCACTTTGGGAGGCCGAGGTGGGTGCATCACCTGAGGTTGGGAGTTCGAGATCAGCCTTACCAACATGGAGAAACCCCATCTCTACTAAAAATACAAAATTAGCCAGGCGTGGTAGCGCATGCCTGTAATCCCAGCTACTAGGGAGGCTGAGGCAGGAGAATCACGTGAACCTGGGAGGCAGAGGTTGCAGTAAGCCAAGATCACGCCAGTGCACTCCAGCCTGGGCAACAAGAGGGAAACTCCGTCTCAAAAAAAAAAACTCTCTCTCCTTATGAAATAACTGGCCATAATATGAGAAATGGATTCTGAGACTTTGCTAGGCCTGTCAACAGAGTGAGAGCCATGAAAATCTAAAAACAAAAGCAGTGTCATCTTTGAAAAACTATAAATGTCCTCTTGACATCAAGGCCGTGTCTATTTATAGTCGATGATGATTTGTAAATGGTTTTAAGTTTTCTTTCTGCAACTTCAATCCACACCATTTAATGTGCTTACTAAGAAAGATGGCATCACCCAATGACGAATTTTAAGGTCACATTTTAGGGAACACAGACACTCAGTTGGCATTCCCATATGTCAGAGAGACAGTGCAGGACTACAGTTACTAATGAGAAAATCACTCCAGACACATCAGATATCAGGGGAAAAGGCCTATTTTCTACCTCCCTACTATTTTCTGTACTGGGTAGGGATTAGACCTTCCTGGCCAAAGATCTTTGGAGAACAGAGACAATCGTTCAGGTAATTCTATTTACCCTTGGCCATGGAGACTTGCCATGGATTCAACTGCATGAAACAGCTAAGATGTCTCTCAAGTCCTTAGAGGCCTGTAGACTGCAGGACGGAAACGATAATCTTTTACGGTTTTCTCCCTCTCAGAGAAGTCCAGAGTCCAGTTCACAGGACCCAGCCACCCTCACCTCCATTCCGATGCTTCAGCGCCAGGCACACTTCGATAATTTGGACACCTAGTTCGTAATAGAAGTCCCCCACGCCCAGCATCTCAGACCAAAATCCTTTTCCAGCTACAAGACAGAAAAACAAAATCTCGGTTATTGATTAATTTATATCCCTTCTTTTCTTTCAAAGCTGCATTAAAACATCATCGTATGGGAAGTTTTCCCTGCATGGCATGAAGTTCTTCTGCTCCATTTGCTACTCAGGAAACAATCAGACTTATTACGGTAACTCCTGCTGAAGAACAGGGTCAGACAGTTCCAGAGGGCAGGCAATCTAAAAGTCATTTCTGGCTGGGTGCAGTGGCTCATGCCTGTAATTCCAGTACTTTCAGACACCGAGGTGGGCAGATCGCTTGAGACCAAGAGTTCGAGACCAGCCTGGCCAACACAGCAAAACCCCATCTCTACTAAAAATAAAAAAAAATTAGCCAGGAGTGGTGGCGTGCGCCTGTAATCCCTGCTACTTGGGAGGCTGAGACAGGAGAATTGCTGGAACCCAGGAGGCAGAGGTTGCAGTGAGCCAAGATTGCACCAACATACTCCAGCCTGGGCAACAAGAGCGCAACTGTCTCAAAAAATTAATTAATTAATTAATTAATTAATAAAAATTGAAAAAATAAAACAAAAGTCATTTCTATTTGGCTAATTCTGGCTCAGGATACTGAAAAAACGAGTTTCCATTCACACAACATACAGTGAAATATAATGGGAAATATGGTCTAGACAAGACTAAGAGAAAGAATATGCAGACTCAGCATCCAAAATCCACTGATGTTCTGCAAGTTACCAGGAGTGTAGAAATAAAAAATAAAATACGGGCTGGGCACAGTGGCTCACACCTGTAATCCCAGCACTCTGGGAGGCAGAGGCAGGCAGATCACCTGAGGTCAGGAGTTTGAGACCAGCCTGACCAACATGGAGAAACCCCGTCTCTACTAAAAATACAAAATTAGCCAGGCGTGGTGGTAGGCACCTGTAATCCCAGCTACTCGGGAGGCTGAGGCAGGAGAATCGCTTGAACCTGGGTGGTTGCAGTGACCCAAGATCATGCCATTGCACTCTAGCCTGGGCATCAAGAGCAAAACTCCATCTCAAAAAAAAAAGAAAAGAAAAATGCAGGTTGTAGAGCAGTAGTAATTATAATCCCATGTATGTTTAAAAAGTCGGGGCCAGGCCAGGAGCGGTGGCTCACGCCTGTAATCCCAGCACTTTGGGAGGCTGAGACGGGTAGATCACAAGGTCAGATCAAGGCCATCCTGGCTAACACGCTAAAACCCTGTCTCTACTAAACACACAAAAAATTAGCCAGGCATGGTGGCACACACCTGTGGTCCCAGCTACTCAGGAGGCTGAGGCGGGAGAATCACTTGAACCCAGGAGAAGGTTGCAGTGAGCCAAGATTGCAGCACAACTGTACTCCAGCATGGGCAACAGAGCGAGACTGTCTCAAAAAAAAAAAAAAAACACTAGGGCCAGGCACGGTGGCTCACGCCTCTAGTCCCAGCGCCACTCGGGAGGTTGAGGCAGGAAAGTAACTTGAACCCTGGAGTTGAAGGCTGCAGTGGGCTGATTGCACCAATGCACTCCAGCCTAGGTGACAGAAACCTCAACACTAAAAAATAATAAATTAGTAATTTTTTTTTTTTTTTTTGAGATGGAGTCTCGCTCTGTTGCCCAGGCTGGAGTGCAGGGGCGCAATCTTGGCTCACTGCAACCTTCACCTCCCGGGTTCAAGTGATTCTCCTGCCTCAGCCTCCTAAGTAGCTGGGATTACAGTCACGTGCCACCACGCCTGGCTAATTTTTAGTAGAGACAGGGTTTCACCGTGTTAGCCAGGATGGTCTCCATCTCCTGACCTCATGATCTGCCTGCCTCAGCCTCCCAAAGTGCCGGGATTACAGGCGTGAGTCACCATGCCCGGCCAATAATTTTTTTTAAAGTTTATAAGTATGAGGAAGGGCTCAGTGCAGAGGCTCACGCCTGTAATCCCAGCACTTCGGGAGGCCAAGAAAGGCTGATCACTTGATCCCAAGAGTTCAAAACCAAACTGGACAACATGGTGAAACCTCCTTTCTACAAAAAATATAAAAATTAGCCAGGTTTGGTGGTACAGGCCTGTAATCCCAGCTACTTGGGAGGTTGAAGCACAAGAATTGCTTGAACCTGGAAGGCAGAGGTTGCAGTGAGCCAAGATGGCACCACTGCACTCCAGCATGGGTGACAGAGCAAGACTCTGTCTCAAAAAAAAAAAAAAAAAAAAAATTTTTTTTTTTAAACAAGGTCTTGCTGCAGCCTCAACTTCCCAGGCTCAAGCAATCCTCCTACCTCAGCCTCCCAAGTAGCTGGACTATAGACACATGCCACCACACATGGCAAATTTTTATAGTTTTTGTAGAGATGGGGTCTCGCCATGTTGCCCAGGCTGATCTTGAACTCCTGGATTCAAGTGATCTGCCTGCCTTGGCCTCACAAAGTGCTGGGATTATAGGCATGAGCCACTGCACCTGGCCAAAATTAAATATTTTTTAATAAAGAGGGAAAATGCCATAAAAAATTCTACTGTATATCATTCAAGGAATGATCATGGACACTGGCTACTCAGCCTATAGTTGGTCTATCTTCCATATCAGACAGTAACCAGCCATCCTGCTAGGTACTCCCTAAAGACGACACCTTCTGGGTCTTCTTGTAGGCCTGTCTAGCAGATACCCCAACAGTGGTAACAACTATGTGAGCTTCTGTCCCTAAGGTTCTCTATAAGAACACTAGAACCCTACAGACAACTTCTTACAGGCCAGCGGATCCACGCCAATGGTTGCACACATGTCCTGGAACTGCACACGGAACTCAGGATTCTTCCGGATCTCCTGCTTGTGCTTGCTGGCAAATTCCTCCAGGTTGGTCTTGAACATGTCCAACTGCTTTGACATCTGTTGGATGGACAGGGAGTGGTGAAGGGCAGCCCAGTCAGATGATAATCAGATGCCAAAAATAGGTGCCCAGTCCTGTGGCATGGCAAAGGCTGAAATAACCAGTCTCTCTCAGCCTACCATTATGCTGAGAGAGACATCTATCTCTCTTTTTATCCCTGCCTCTCCTTCACAGTTCTGTTGTCAGCAGAAATGGGATGCTGTACTGTTTTCTCACTTCCAAACTAGACAATTTTTTGTGCGTTCCTGTTCTAAAATCAGGATGCATTTAATAATCAAGGTGCACATATATACAACCAAATACATACACAAAAAAAGAACAATGTGTTATATATAATGTGGTATTCCTTTTCTTTTACCCAGAAAAACTTATTAATTTGAAGATGTACCTAATAATTCATTGTATCTTAGAAATGAGGGAATGCAGTGTTCACCCATTAGAAAATCTTTACCCCCCGATGGAAAGGGTGGACGGGAAAAAAATGAAGTGTCGCATGAATCTGTTTAACCTATGAGTCTGGCCAGGAATGGTGGCTCACACCTGTAATCCCACAATGGATCACTTGAGCCCAGGAGTTCGAGTTTAGCTGGGGCAACATAGCAAGACTCTGTCTCAATCAATCAACATATATATATTTTTTTTTTAATTTTTTTTTGAGACAGAGTCTTGCTTTGTTGCCCAGGCTGGAGTGCACTGGCACAATCTCAGCTCACTGCAACCTTAGCCTCCCAGTTCAAGCAATTCTCTTGCCTCAGCCTCCTGAGTAGTTGGGACGACAGGCACACACCACCACACCTGGCTAATTTTTGTATTTTTAGTGAAGACAGGATTTCATCATGTGGGCCAGGCTGGTCTCGAATTCCTGACTTCAAGCAATCCATCTGCCTCAGCCTCCCAAAGTGCTGGGATTACAGATGTGAGCCACCGCGCAGGGTCAATCAATCAATCAACCAACCAATATAAATTAAAAAAAAAACTTTTGAGTCATGAACCTCCCTGGGGATCAATTCCAGATAAAGAACTACTCTGGGACTTTAATTTGCCAGATTGCATTTCATGTTAAATACAAAAGACTTGGGGATTTTCTGACTTTGTATTACCCCTTCTCTTTTCCTAATTAACAAGGACCATCTTCTATTCCACCAAGAATAAGCACTCCTAGCCCAATATTTCTCACATAAAACTGTTAGAAACCTCCACATTCTTTTAATCACAATTTTCGGTTGATTCCTGCAGTCATCTCCCCTGTGAATGGGAGCTTTTGAAGAGCACAGCCTGGGCCTACTATTTTTCTTCAGCTCACAGCCCCGTTTTCCTGTTTAACAGCTTCCTCCTCTTCTTCCCCAATCACAATCACTGCGTAAACTTGGAGCATGTAAAGAGCAGGGAAGGGCTGGAAAAGAAAACTGCACAGGAGCTGCACCCCCATCACTCACACACTGTCCTGGTGTGTGCCTAGATGTCATGATGGTGGTGTGGGTGCCACAGGTTAAGCAATATTTTCATTTTATTCTGAAGTATTTAAAATGAAAAGCCCCAGAGGACGTAAATCAATAACAGCTCTACCACTTACTACCCATATAACCTTGGATATATTACTTAACACCCCAGTGTCCCAATTTCTTTTTCTTTTCTTTTTTTTTTTTTTTTGAGACAGAGTTTTGCTCTTGTCGCCCAGGCTGGAGAGCAGTGGCGCAATCTCGGCTCACTGCAACTTCCACCTCCCGGGTTCAAGACATTCTTCTGCCTCAGCCTCCCAAGTAGCTGGGATTACAGGCATGCGCCACTACGCCCGGCTAATTTTATATTTTTAGTAGAGATGGGGTTTCTCCATGTTGGTCAGGCTGGTCTCGAACTCCTTACCTCAGGTGATCCGCCCACCTCGGCCTCCCAAAGTGCTGAGATTACAGGCGTGAGCCACCACGCCCGGCCTTTTTTTTTTTTTTTTTTTTGAGACAGAGTCTTGCTCTGTCCCCCAAGGTGGAACGCAGCGGCAAGATACTGGCTTACTACAACCTCTGCCTCATGGGTTCATGCAATTTTCCTACCTCAGCCTCCTCAGTAGCTGGGACTACAGGAGCCCGCCACCACGCCCGGCTAATTTTTGTATTTTTAGTAGAGACGGGATTTCACCATGTTGGCCAGGCTGGTCTCGAACTCCTGACCTCCAGTGATCAGCCTTCCTCAGCTTCCCATAGTGCTGGGATTACAGGCGTACGCCACAGCGCCCAGCTCTCAATTTTGAACTCAGAATACGGCCAGGCACGGTGGTTCACGACTGTAGTCCCAGCACTTTGGGAGGCTGAGGCGGGCGGATCACCTGAGGCCAGGAGTTCAAGACCAGCCCAGCCAACATGGCGAAACCCTGACTCTACAAAAAAAATACAAAAATTAGGGCCAAGCACGGTGGCTCACACCTGTAATTCCAGCACTTTGGGAAGCCAAGGTGGGTGGATCACAAAGTCAAGAATTTGAGACCAGCCTGACCAACATGGAGAAACCCTGTCTCTACTAAAAATACAAAAACTGGCTGGGCGTGGTGGCTCACGGTTGTAATCCCAGCACTTTGAGAGGCCGAGGCGGGTGGATCATGAGGTCAGGAGTTCGAGACCAGCCTGGCCAAGATAGTGAAACCCCGTCTCTACTAAAAATACAAAAATTAGCCGGGTGCAGTGGCGGGGCCGGTTTGTCGAGTGTTGCGGCGCCTGTAATTCCAACTACTCGGGAGGCTGAGGCAGGAGAATCGCTTGAACCTGGAGCGAGTTGCAGTGAGCCGAGGATCGCGCCACTGCGCACTAGCCCTGGCGATCAGAGCAACACTCCGTCTCAAAAAAAAAAAAAAAAATATTAGCCGGCGTGTGTGGCACCGTAGGTAGGTGCCTGGGAGCGTGTTTCTGAGTTAATACTTGCGGGCTGGG